GGAGAAAAGAGCCCCCCCCCCCTTGCCTCTGGAAGATAAACTCCCATCAGATCTGCTGTATTATCCAGAGCAGCAAGTGCTATGAGTCAAAACTACGGTTCAAATTATTTATCGTATTAGTGATATTCCATATCGATGGCTAAAATTGGAAAACGTGTATCTCCATAACAACGTTTTAATATTTCTGACCACGTTTCATGGTTTGATTATTAGGAAGGTTATAGTCAGAATATCTTCTTGAGATCGTTTGTAAATTTGTTCAACTTACAGGGGAGGAAATCACAGAAAATTTCGAGAAAAATAGTTGTTTAGTTTTGCCCCTAATATTTTTCAATAGCTTGAGCTTCGATCTCAAGACTTAATTTCATTCGAATAGATTTGTCTTATACATCATGAACTGATAAAAAGACCCATAAAATTTATAAAAATCTGGTGAGAAAATATTACTTGGTTCTTTTTGTGGTTATCAACTTTGATTATTCCCATTAACTGCAATCTCTATTATCTCTGACATTGAAAAACTTTTCCATGGAAAATTGAACACTGAAAACATTTAATTGAAAAATCAACGTTTTCAATGTGACGCATTCCGACTTAGCGCTTATAAGTCATCGATTTGTAAGGTTCTTTTGTGTCGATCGATTCACGTCGATCGATTCACGTTTTCATTTTTCGATCCATTCATGTCGATCGAATCGATACGGGTGTTCTTAAATTAATTGTCGATCGAATCGGTGTCGATCGAATCACGTTTTCATTTTTCGATTGATTCATGTCGCTCGAATCGACGCTGGTTTTTTAACAATTTGTCGATCGATTCACGTTTTCATTTTTCGATCGATTCATGTCGATCGAATCGGTGTCGATCGATTCATGTCGATCGATTCACGTTTTCATTTTTCGATCGATTCATATCGATCGAATCCATACCCTCCTTATAGAGTGAAGGACGATTTCAAGTGTACGGATGCTTCAGAAACTTATTTGCGTATCTCTGAAAAATATATTGACTTACCATTATTTTGCTGTGCTTCCCACTCCCGCCTTAAAGTTTCAATATCGACATTGACACCTTTGGCAGCGAGCTTTCTTTGTTGCCGTTCGAGACTTTTCAGCAGTTTCTTCTGTCGCCTCTCTCTTTCCTTCCGCCTCAGTTCTTCGGCCGGGATAGGCTCGCCTGAACACGTCACTGGATGAGCATTATGCGCAGGCCTACCCGGTCCCTTCTTCGTGTGTTCCTTCTTACGCCATTTCGCCCGCCGATTTTGAAACCAGACCTGCAACAAAAAGTCAATTTACATACTGAGGGCGATCTGCGAGAAATACCTTCTATGCGCCTTACACTGAAAAAAAATTCTCGGCGTTTTTACCAAGGTCCGTTGGTAACTTTACCATCTCATTTTTTTTTACCAATTATTGGTAATTTTACCAAGACAGACAGGTAAACTTACCTAAAACCGGTATATTTACTGTTTTTTCAGGTAAGAATACCACTTTTATTGGTAATCAATTCCTGGTAACTTTGCCATTTTATCTCGGTAATTCTACCATGGTCGATAAAAAATATTGGCGTTTTTACCAAGGTCCAGTAAAATTCCCGAGAAAGTTCAATAATTTTACCGAGATTTCTTGGTAAAATTACCAATTTCATGAATGGTAACTTTACCAAGAAAAAACTGGGATCAAATAGAACCCTGAATTCTTGGTAATTTTACCCTTTTCTTGGTAAATACCCCGAGATTTTTTTTTCAGTGTACATTCTTGGGCATGATACTCGTAACACTTATACTTTGCACCTTCAAAGGCAATAGTATGCAATTTATGATACATCTTAACGTCTTGAGACTGGATAGGATGTTTTCCCTCGGTACAAAATTCGATACCTATCTGATTGTGAGTGAAATGCATGATTCTGAAATGTTTCAAACTCTCACATAGATACATTAACTTAAAACCGGCGGATTCGAGCCTATTCACGAGTACAGAGCTTTTAAATGAGTCGTTTGGTGCAGTGCGTGGATTGCAACCTCAAAATGTTCGCATTTGGTGCGGGAAAACAAGGATGGCACAAGTATTTTGGGGGGTAGGTAGGTATGATAATGATACATCGTGTTACTTTGTAAAAACACACATTCGATCCTTCATATTCATCTTTGTATGCACACATGCACATCCGACCCGCTTTGCTCTAAAATGTTTGCCCTCAATTTATTGTCAATCATTTCGAAATTGCTTCCGTAGTGAACTAAAAATTTGTCATTGGCACGACGCTCAAAACTTTACAAACCAAGCGGACGAAAAACACACTGTGAGATTAAGGGAACAAGAGAAGAATTAGAGATAAAAAGTGGGAGGACGCTTGATAGAGTGCAGGAGTAATTGATAATTCTTTTTGCGTGTAAGTCACAGAACATGTAAACATTACCTGCACAAAAAATAGGCGTCTAAAGATAATTATTTTACCTTCGGTGACCCTGAATCTTATTATTATTCTCGAACGATGAACACACCGATAAGCGGCTCACAAATACATGCCACGTTGATATCAGTCGGGCGCCTGCGATGAATTCGACTAAAAGTTTATCGAATTGGATAAAGACTAATACCTAGACCGAAGTCGATCGCTGATGTAGGTTTGTAGGTGTTTGATTATACTGTCCTCTTGATTTCATTGCTGTTCTTTTATTAAATTAATTGCAATTAGATCTTATGCCTTTCACGTGCAACTGCTAATCTTATCTTATCGAAATAGAAATTGAGAGTAAATCAGAAAATTAAAGAGTGTCCGTCCATTTCTCATTTCGTGAATATTGTGCTTCTATTCTTAAATTTCGGTCTAATTACTTTTTCTTCATATTTTTCATATCACTGGCTGAAAAAATTTTCCACTAGCGCTTTTCTTTCAACCTACAGAGCACTAACGGCTGGAAAATTTAACTCGCTTTTCTTTCATACTCGCATTCATTTCCCCAAAATTATGTGCGCCTTATCCTTACCCTTTAGAAAAAGAAAGCATTTTTTTTCGCTCATTTTAGAAAGACTGCATATGCTATACGTTCCCATTCGCAAATTGGTGCTACTATGGATGGACTAGAAATCTTAGTTTCTCATTGCAAAATTTAGTGCAATTATTCCAAGTTTAACATGGCAGAGTCAAGTTAATGGCAGTGTTGCAAAGATTGTGCAACCTTTTTTTGTACCGTAATAAGCACTAAGGACTCGTGCTTAAGCTAAAAATGAAAGTTCCAAACAGTGGCGTAACGGGCGCCCCCGCAGACCTTGCTATGCAGGGGGGGCCCAGGCGCCTAGGGGGCCCTCGGCCGCCCGAATTTTTTCTCTCTCTCTCTTTGATGCTCAGCTGTGGTTTCAAACTTTGGGCCTTTACTTGCCGAGATGGGGCTTCTTCCTCTAATTTTTATTGTTATAGCTCGGGGTTTTTCATACTTCTCTTGGGCTGTTCCTAACTTTTTGTTTGCTGGAGGGCCCCTGCCTTCCCATGTCCACTCAATGATTCCTAAATAATTTTCTCTTCTCTTGTCACTTTTCGTATTTCGGATTTTGGGAGGCCCAAGGAATCTAAAAGGTTTGGGGGCCCTTTGATTTTTGGGGCTGGGCTGAGCCTCCGACTTCCTTTAGATCCTTGATCCGAGGTTAGGAGCTCCATTTAATCGGGTACTTTTACGTTTTTATTTTTTTTTTTAAATTTATTTATTTGCGCAAACATGCAAGTGAATCAAATTCCACCTCAGAACATAATGTAAAAGTAGGCTAAATCCTTCACATACAATACGTACCTAAAGGTAAAAAGATATAAGCTATACTGTTATTTTGATTTTTTGGTGGTTAAGGCTGATTTTCTAAAAAATGTTCGTGCTGCGGGCCTAGACCATAAAAGAAAAAACGGGAAGGGGTGAGGGACGGAGAAGGGGGATAATTTTGGAATTATATCGACATGGGGGGCCCCTAGAAAAAAATTTTGCGGGGGGGCCCAGCGGAAGTCCGTTACGCCAGTGGTTCCAAAATTATTTTTCTCATACTCCCCCCTTACTTTTACTCAGCACAAAAATAAACCCGTTTAATCCTTCAGACTTACTACTTACAGGAGTTGTAGGACACATATTAAACAAATTTCCTGCGAAATTTTAATAAATTGGCCCTTCTATCCTAAATCTGTCCAGCATACGAGTGGTCAGATTATTTTACACGAGATATTGGACAAATCACTGTTTATTGAAATTTATTTCGCGTTAAAAACTTTGATAGTGCATTAAAAAAGCGATAATTTCAATTGATACTGGACGCTTTTATTTGTTTCAACTTTTCAGTACATGCCGACGGTCGGCGGTGGCAAAAACAGCCACTTTTCAATTTCCTAATCAGGTGAAGTATTTTCGAAATTTAAGTAGTAAATAGGTACTTTTTAGCACAAAAGTTTGTTAATTTGTTTGGTTGAAATAATGTTTTTTTTTTTTTAATTTTGTAAAAAATGATGGAGGACAAAAGAGAGAAAGTTAAAGTCACGGAAGGAAGAAAAAAGGCACAATATTTTCCGATGTTACGAAAACTTTGACTCTGCGATCAAGTTTGTTACTGAGCAGAAGCTGCATAATACAGACGTGAGTTTCACATGCTGTACTAAGAATAAGCGCACATTATGATTAAAGTTCCAATTTATTGTTGTAATGCAAGTTTGGGTCGCGGGTCAATTAGTGCTATACGGGGACTCGAATCACGCATGATGAAACTCTGCACGGATTGGATACCAGCCGATCACATTTTGGCTTAAGTTGGAAGGTAGGATTTCCATTCTAATTCACTCATTCATGTCATCTCAACGCCACCGAGGATTATTAAGATTATTTTGATCGTTGTCAAAGTCTTTCGGTAATATCTTCGTTTCTATCACACAAGAACGTAACTCAATTTCAATCTTGCCAAATTTTCCTGGGCAAATTTCACTTTTACCAGTAGAATTTTAGGAATTTCTAATGGGAAATTTCACTGATTTGTCTTCTAATCTCATGCAAAAATCAGACAAACTTTCAATAAAAATTGGGCAAGTAGATTCTTTTGAAAAATTGAACTGTTTGAGTCATTTTGCAACCTTGGAATTGAGTTACGTTACTTCTTTCGAGTAACTACGATATGTTCACTATGAAGTGCGCAGCAACTTAAATTAGAGTCCCTTTGTACTGAGAGTAAAGACAGTGCGAATCCATTTCTGATTGGTTCCTGTATTTTAGGCCTTCATAATGTCACGAACGGGAATAAAGATTACATTTTCACCAATTGCAAAAATTATAAACTGGAATGGACCGGGGAATTTGGGGCGTACGGCAAGGGACAAATGAAATGAGAGACGGAACGGTGACAGGAATTCGGGAATGGGTTGATCAAAGATTACGTAAAACGTCCGCTTTGTGTAATCTTTATTCCCGTTCGTGACATCTATAAGCCGCGTTGTCTCAACTCTCTCTATGAAGGGACTCTAACTGAATTGAATCAGTGAGAACGAAAACACACCAACTCGGTATCTGGAAAACGCTCAGTTTTCATCAAAGACGGTTAATTTTCATAAAGGTCATTGAAGTTAGCGTATCTGTTCCAACTTGGACCTTTATATTGTCCATAAGTCCTTGTCTTTCGGCAGCAAAAATCTTTTTCTTAGACTTACTTCTTCACCTAGCGTGCAGTTTTGTGTGTGTCTTGATTATTTTCATTTTTCCGAGTTGGTGTGTTTTCGTTCTCACTGATTCAATTATGTGGACACTCTGTACTTCCGTATCCGAACCAAACTCTGAAAATCAGCTCAAATTGCAGTATTTCATCATTTTCTCTCACGATAATCAAAGTAGCTTTTAAGTTCCCAAACGGAACGATCGAATGGCTCAATTCGCGAGGCTCAATCCTCTTATTAGATTGATTTTGACGAGGATGAGCACCACAATCCTACCCATTGAGCCACAATCAAGGAGTGAAAAAATGCAGGAATATCACACCTAATGATGGATATTTCATTTAAGCCACCAGGCGCGGCGAGGCACGTGAACAATGGTAACAGGTGTATAGGAAAGCGGAGCCGACTCGTCGAAAAGTGACGGAGCGAGAGAGAGGAGGCGCGAGACGGAAGAAGAGGAACGTGTCAAAATGGTGATTAGTTAGAAGAAGAATCGGCTTTTTACGCTGCGCTGCCGATTTTATATTTTATTAATTTAAAGCCCGCCTGATTTACATTGAATAGAGGGGGGTTTAGGGGGTGGAGCGGCAACGAGGTGCGGTTCACACGGGTCGCTAATCAGCGAGGTGCGAGAGAAACGCGCGGAGCGGGCTCTCGGGCGTCGAGCGTCAACCGAGCGACCAGTTGTAAACTAATAATAATAAATTGATTTATGTAAAAATGTCATAAGACTGATTACCGTCAGTCAACAAATGCTCCGAGCCAGAGAGACGCGGGCTTGGGCTCCTCGTATGCGTCCAAGCTCCGCACCTCGCTGTCTATCGGGATCGTAATGATTCCATCCAGCTGGCCGATTATTGAAATTGATAGACATAGAGGTAGACAAAGAAGACATAGAGAATATGGTGCGATCCCACTGGTTGTAACAAATGGTTGCTACAGACTAAGGGAGGAAATGATGGACTAGGGTCTCTCGTGAATTGCTGCTAAATAGTCTATTACTTATCTCCTCTGTCCATATTGCAACCATCCGCTTCCACCAATAGGTTCGCTCCATTTTCCCGTCATCTTCTTTGCCTATAGCTTTCTCTATCAATTTCAATAATTAGCTTGCTGGAGGACGCTAACAAGTCGCCTCTGCCGCATCATAGTTGAAATTGATAGACAAAGTGATAGACAAAGAAGACATAGATAACACGGTGTGGTCTCATTGGTTGTAACGGGTGGTTCTTATTAATGAAAAGAGAAAATTATGGACTGGGGTCTCTCGTGAATTGCTGCTAAATAGTCTATTACTTATCTCCTCTGTCCATTGCAACCCCCCGCTTCCACCAATAGGATAGCTCCATTTTCCCATCGTCTTCTTTGTCTATAGCTTTGTCTATCAAAATTAGCTTGTTGGAGGACGCTAAGCAAGTTGCCTCTGCCGCACCATCGGGCTAATCGTTGAAATTGATGGACATAGTGATAGACAAAGAAGGCATAGGGAATATGGTGCGATCCAATTAGTTGTAACGGGTGGTTGTTATAGACTAAGGGAGGAAATGATGGCATAACTCTACAGGGTCTCTCGTGAGTTGCGTTAGTTAGTCTATTACTTATCTCCTCAGTCCATTGCAACCACCCGCTTCCACCAATAGGATCGCTTTATCTTCAGTTTGTCTTCTTTGAATATATATCTTTGTCCGTCAACTTCAATAATCAGCTTGCTGGAGGACGCTGAGCTAGCTGTTTCTGTCGCACCACGGCAAAATATTGCACTTTTTCACTTTCAAGATACTTCGCGTTTAGACTTGTTTGTGATTAGAATTTATATCAGATTAAACCATGCCAAAAAATACTGAAAAGCCAGGGAAAAATCGAGGACTTTTATGGCAAAAATATCTAAAAAGTCGGGGAACTTTGAAATCCAAAAAAACTTGTCACCCTGCAAACAGCTATGGTCATGATAAATCTTGATTTAGCTTGTTTTTGCCGATAACAGTCTCGCAAAGTGCATTATTTGGCAACGCTGCCAGATGGGAAGTAATTAATAGGATACGATTTTTCCATATTTTCAAGTAAATTAAATGAGGAGATTCAAAAGAAGATCAAGTGTGTCCTTGCCGTTTAAGGCAGGCGAGTAATTGCCGCGTAGATACTTGAAAAGTCTCGGTTTTGTTTTTATATTTATTATCAATTTTCTCATTTCTTTTTTTTCAATTGTATTAAATACTCAAACCGCCCTATTTTCGTGCAACGATGACGCACGAATGCAATGAGCAACACGTTTTGTTCACACAACCGGAATAAATTAAGGCGCTCCGGCTTTTTCAATGGCTAGGTCTGGATGCAACTATTCGTGTTCTCGGGATGTGCGTATTGCATACTCACACGATTGCGGGCGTTCTGGCTTTCTTAAGCACAAAGTACGGCTAAAGTTGTTAGTTCTCAAGGGTTTTCCACATTGCATTTACAATTTTCTTCACCATGAAGTTCTTGGCAATCGGATGAGTCGTGTTGAACCATGGCAGCGTTGCAAAATTGTGCAAATTATCCACGAAAGCATCGCAGATGTCAAACCCGCAAATATTTAACTACCAGTAAGATTTCCGCTTTGGATCAGAGGACGAAGTGAGAATTTATTCATCATGATACACGTTTCCTCATCAAAATTTTTCATAGAACTCGATTTTTACGACGAAAATCAATTATATTAATTTCTGATCTAAGATATTACCATTTTTCGATGCGTGGATTCAAATTTTTCCGCTTATGGGCAAAACATGAATCTTCTTCAGTTGAATCACACAGAAGAAGTTACCATGGTAGTGTCTGCGGTATGAAAATATTTCAACCTCAATATTGGCCCATTTCATTAGATTTAATACTACAAGAGATTATAATCGCAACGCAGAAAGCCCTTATGAACTAACAACCGGAGCCATACGTTGTGCTTCAGAAGGCCAAAGCGCCTACAATCATTTGTGCATGCAACACAGACATCCCAAGAACACGAACAATTGCATCCAGACCTAGCCATTAAAAAACCGGTGCGCCTTAATTTTTTCCAGTTATTAGAACAAAATGTGTGATTGTTGCACGAAGATGGGACAGGTTGAGGAGTTACTCAAATTTGGAAGCTGCAGCTATGTCTAATCAGATATCGTAAATATGACCTATGTGTTTTTCGCGTGAATTCTCTGGTGTAATCGATGCGAATGTTCATTTTTGTCACAATTAGTCTCAAAGATCTATAGGACCGATTTTCAGAATGTTTGCCGTTATCCACGAGACAGTCTCAAGATGAGCTCATTTTATTTAGACTAGCTAGGGCACGCGAAAAATGCTTCAGAGAGGAAAAACTCTCTCTGGGGGTTGGGCCGTGTGGCGGCTAGGGGGCAATTCCATAGTTCCTGAGCAATATTACAGACCTTAAATTAACAACCGCTTTCCTGAGTGCAGCTATTTGTGTACCTATGCCCAGATCTAAAAAGTAACGAAACAGAAGCCCCCATTATAGAATCGCTTAATCGGTTTCTGTTATACCTTCATCTTAATCAATTTCGACTAAATTACCCTTTGTTACGCTGCCCGATTCTCAAACGGATCCCATTAAAAAAATTGAAATTAACTCACGGCGACTCTGGATTCCTTAAGGTCCAATCGGAGAGCCAGCGCCTCCCTCATGAAGACATCTGGATAATGGCTGGCCAAGAAGGCTCTCTCGAGCTCCTCCAACTGCCAGCTGTTGAAGTTTGTCCTCGATCGCCGACGCTTGCTGGACATATCCTCCGGGCTCTCCCCATCTGTAACACATTAACGGAAATCGATTTTTATTACGCCTTTAACACCCGTTTAAAGAATTTCACACATTACCCACTTTGAAGCACGGATCTTAAATTTCATCTGCTCCGCGCGCCATTCATCATCTCCCGGACAGATGAATTAACCGCCCGAGGACCGCCCAACGTGAGCTCCGAACCAGAGGCTAATTTGAATGTTCGCGCGGGTTTGCGGTATGCCGCGATGATGAAAAACGACGTATGAGCCTTTGGACGTTGCCAAATCTAATTTGATTACATGTGAATTTTCTGAGAAACGTGTCATATTTGGACGTATTTCTATCAAACGGAACTAAGCGCCAATTTGAGTTCCTTTTTGAAGAATTTAGAATCCCGGATAGCACGTTCTATCAAACGGACCTAAGCGCCATGGAAAAGCATTGCGATTATAGGACGGAATAAGGCGGACGCCCGATTCCGCCGTCAATCCAAGCCCCCCTCTACCTTCCTCACCCTATGGCGCTTAGGTCCGTTTGATAGAAATACGTCCATTTTTCTTTTAATTTTTCAGAGAGGCTTTTCCGCATTATGATGGAAAATATCTGAGAATTCTAAGAAAAACTAACAACACAATTTTTTAATGTACGAGTTTTACGGAGAATATTTGGAAGCGCATTCGAAAGTTTATAAGGCGTTTGTCCTCAGCAAAGGAAGGTCTCCTTTGAATATAAGTTATTTGTCGGCGTAACTCTATAATACCAGGAAGAGGAAAGTATTGATAGGATGAGCTTCTTTTATGAATAGTCCTGTATTAAGCAATGATTGGCTCAATTTGCTTTGCTCTCGCAAGACGAAGTTCGATAATTAAGCACATGGATGGGTAAAGTCGAAAAATGCATGTCTCTACTGCTACCTTTAAAAATCTCGATTATGTTCCCTTTTTCTCAGAAGAAATCTATAATCGATGATATGTCTGCTCGAAATTTTCTGTGAATATATTTGAACAAACAGAAACAAATTTACAGAGAACTTAAGAACAAACTTCGTTTTTTGGTATCATTTTTTTCCCCTGGACGTTGTTTCGCTAAAACAAGCAAAAGCGCATTTGAAAATAATCTAGAGTTAGAGCAATTGTACTTTTACAGATGCAGATCGAAAATTATTTATTGAAATTTCCCCTTGTATTGTTTTTTTTTTGTCTACTGACTTGCTTTTAAGCACGATGATTTTATTCTTATGAAGATATAAGTAGGACCACACTTTTATTTTATATGTAGTAGAACGCAAAACATTTTCCTTACAAAGGCTCAAAATAGTTACGTAACTGTGGGATGATTCAGGGCAAAATGGTTTTTCTCATCAAGAGAACGCGGCGATTGAATCATTCGCAGAAAATCCATCAAATGCGATCGCGAGACGAATGAGCGAGTCAACAGCCATCTCGCGAAGCGTCTTGGCCAATATTTGCTACCGACGTCGACACAGGATTTGCCAGTAACTTGCCACGCTGCTAATACCTACCATAGCTCGATAATTGAATTTTAATGTGGTGGCAAATGCATCCGATGAAGAGTCTGAAGACCTTGCCCTGGTCTGCCCTGCACCCAATCGTAAACTGGGATGCGCATGCATTGTGCTGCCGTGCTAAGGAAAAACGCCGTATGAACCTTAAGGCGTTGTCAAATTTCCTCTGATAAAACGCGAATTTTCTGGTAAATTTATGAATATTTTCCTCCCAATTTTTCAGATAATAGTTCGCAATTTTACCTTAAGACTCTGAAAATTTAAAGGAAAAATATTCATCATTTTCCTAAAAAATAGACATTTTATCGAAGGAAATTTGGTAACTCTCGAATGTTCATACGGCGTTCTTCCTTAGCACGGCAGTGTGTTGCTGGGTCGTCTCAGCGAATCCGCTAGAGTTGTTGGTGTGAGAAAACGTCGCTTGGCTATCAAAAGGGAGTAACTATAATTTATGATAAGCCCGAGAAAGCATTGAGTTATATGGACAACAAGGCGCATCGTTGAGTGTAGTTACGCCCTTATGTCAGGAAAGCGACGAAGCGGCATTTGTAAGGATCAATCAAAGCTTATTTGCTTGGTGAAGAGGCATCCGCATTTCTTACACCTACTCATTAACCACTGCTTTAATTACTCGTATTTATTACTAATTCACTGTGCGGATGACGTCACAAAATGTGTCATTTTATAAGCCCGATAGATTACAGTTTTCAGTAGTCAGACATTAATGGGCCATTATTTCAATGGCTACGAACACGGTTAAAAATAATTGAATCGGTGAGAATGAAAACACACCAACTCACCAGTTTCCGCCTATAGGATCGCTTCTTACTCTCTATGTCTTCTTTGTCTATCGCTTTGTCTATCAGTTTCAATAATCGGCCCGCTGGCTTGGTTAGGAGTCTTACGAAAAAAATACTTGAAAGCACTATAATATCAGAGGAAAAATTGCTTTGCAAAAATGTTGAAAGTGCACTGACAAGGGATCATATGGGCGCCACGCATAGTCATATAAGTGCCCACACAGGTCTCATTGTAATGCTCACAATGAGACCCATACCCATGGCGCACAGTGGATTGAGTCAATTAGAGAGGTTGGACATGAAATTTTTTACTAAAATTACAAATTTTGATGTTTATTTCGTCACATTTTAAACTTGAAGGGGTGCTGCCAGGAGAAAATTTCACGAGGAAACCAATGACACCACTTTCAGAACCTCAAAGTTTTGTATGAATGGAGCTATAAGCGTTTAAATTTTCCGAATTGTGTCCGACCTCTCCCATTGACTCGGTCCACTGTGTGGCGCGCGGAGGGGTAGCTAAGTCAAGCGTGAGAATGCCACTTTGTCACGCCATTTGTGCACCGGATGTGGTCGTTCGCTGTCGAGAAAATTCTCAATCTTCAGGAGCGCCCTTTAAATCTCAATTAAAGGATAATTAACCACGCAGTTTCATGTAAGGCTTTCCATTGTAATTTCCATTTAAATTACAACTCGCGGAGCTAATAGAAAGTAAAACTGACGATATTAACACGTCCGCGTAAAATATATGCTCCTGTCTTTCATCTCGCCTTCGATGCAGACCTGAAACATGCCGCAGTTCACGATATTGTGCGTCCGAGGGAACGAAACGATTTTAGAGGTGTAAAATAAAAATGACTACAACTTTGAGGACAAGCACAGCGTTTAATGCTATCAGTTCGTATAATGTAATCTCATTTTTAGTGTTGGAAGCGAACGGTTTTTCAAAATAATTGAAAAAGATATATCAACCATGGATCAGTTGCAATTTTTATACACTTATTGTTCGAAAAATGCGTACTTAGTCAGCAATAACAAAATAAACTCAAATGTGTTAATTCTGCGCAAAAAATTATACAGGATGAAAAAAATGTATTTTCGGTTATCAATGTAAACACTTTTCAATGTTTAAAAGAACATTGGATCAATGTCTTGAATCATAATTTGCCTTATTGATATTGTTATCAGCGATTTAAGTGATTTGTTCCTATGATTGCGGCAATATCGCCGCTTTTCACAGTGGTATCTTAAATTTCCCAATTTTGTCCTCAAACTTTGAACTGCTACCAAAGGATCAGTTTTTTTTTTTTAAATAATGCGGTGTCTGTTCCCGGCACTAATTGCACATTTCACAATTAGGAATTACTAATTCTAACTCGTCCATACAAATATCTATGCATACGAAAAGGAATGTCATAGATCAGTTGTTTTTGAAATAAGCAAGAAGCAATAGCTCGCTTACAGCAAAATGAAGTCCAATTAACCCGTTCAAGTCTTGGTATATTCATCTCATCCCTCATCTCCTACATTTGAATCAGTGAGGACGAAAACACACCAACTCGGAAAAATGAAAATAATCAATACACGCTAAAAACTGCACAGTAGGTGAAGAAGTTACTTCAAGAAAAAGATTTTTGCTGTTGAAAGACACGTACTTGTGGACACTTTAAAGGTCCAAGTTAGGATAGATGCACTAACTTCAATGATCTTTATGTAAATTAACTGTTTATAATGAAAATTGAGTATTTTCGAGTTACCGAGTTGGTGTGTTTTCGTTCTCACTGATTCATTTGACTCTGACACATATAACATTTCTTGTAGAGCGTGCAACAGGGGGTAGCGAGGTTAAAGCACGAAAATGGAGCACGCTTGATGGCGGCTATAAGGAGAAGGAAAAGAAATCATAAACGGATGAAAAACTGCTTTCATCCGAGATTAGATTTATTTTCGGCGGGGAGAGGAGCGGCATTTTCTATTAACCCGCACGCGTTCGGGAGCGGGAGACAGTTTTCGCCCTTTCCATCCCTGCTCACGGTTCATATCCATAATTTTCGATGCTACCGACCAGGGTCTCTCAATTAGGCGCTGCCTCCGAGCGCTCATCCCTCCCGGATAACGACTCGACCCGAACCGATATAAATCTGTGAAATTGTTTTCCGTCGTAAAGATAGTTTCACTGAAATATTGAAACGCTGAGATACATCTGGAATCTCGTCCGAGTTCAATTCACTTGCAGTCTGTACCGCCGAGGACGATAAATAAAGCGAGAACTGATTCACTGCCGTCCATCTTGTATTCATAGAGTGCGGGGACTCCTCATATTTCAGAGGGTCGAAAAAATAATACGTTGGGGAATGTGCCATTGAATGTCACGCGCTTTAAAACAATGGACCACTAGACAAGGTACGAATTTAAGCAATCTGATACATGTTTCTTAACCAGAATTTCACGTAAAACACGATTAGCGCAACGAGTATTACTGAAACGAACTCCTAACTAAGATATCAACGTTTTTATTTCACATTGGTTACGAGGAATTTGAACTTCCCGCTCACAAGAAACTCTCTACGTGAGTCAAATCGCGCTACAACGGGCTCAGCAAGATTCTCAATCGAGCAATGTTCATTTCCCACCAGGTGTTGTTCAAACTATAAGCAATTTGCTATAGCTGAGCCGAAGCAACAGAATTGATTGATGAGGTTG